AACCTCATTAAAAACTGTTAATTGACTTAATGATTTATTAATAGAAGGTGCAATTTGATATGAAATTAGAAATCTCAGGAGGTGGAATGTAATTTCCAAAACTACAGGGGGCGATTTGTATTTTAATCAAACCTTAGGGAGTGTATTTGTAATTTACCCATAAGAAAAATTATTCATTCACAAAATTCCCTTCCCCCCCACCCAAATGAACAATGGGGCACATTACGACGGTAGTTCTTGTATTTTGGTCATTGTGAAATTTTAGCCCTTGTAATTTCAGTTGGCTCAATTCTGACCCTGAATTTATAACTGTCACAATTTGGTCCAATTGATTTGAACTCTTAGCATTTTTTATGTATTTATTTTTTTATAGAAAATATGCACTTTAAGTGTTATGTATCATATTTTTAAGTGTAAAATTATAAACTTACTCAACTTAGTGAGTTAACCTCAAACAATTTAGTGATAATTTTCTTTTAAAAATACTAACAATATTATCAATTGGACTAAATTGACATAAAATTTAAAATGAATGGTCAAAATTGAGCCAATTGAAAGTGTAGGGACCAAAATGACACAATAAATAAAATATAGGGATTGCTGGTGTAATTTGCCCTAAACAATAAGCCAATTAACCAAGCATTACGACAAAACCATTAAACTAATGTTGTGTTTGGTTGAGGGATTTGGGGAAAGATTTGGAAAGGGAAAGAGAAAAGATGTGTGAAACTAAGTGAAATGTAGGTAAATTTCATTCACATTTCACCTAACTTTTCCCTTGCCCCTTCCCTTTCGCTTTCAAAATCCATTCTCAAATCCCCCAACCAAACACAGCGTAAGTCTATGTAGGCCTATTGTAAAATAATTTAAGCTTATTTCGACTTAATTCAGTTCAAATTTTAAAAAGTTTGTTAGGCCATCTATGGCCCTTAAATTTTTACTCACATTTAAGAAAAATTATTCATCCACAAAATTCCGTTTCCCGCCACCCAAATGAACAATGGGGCAAATTACGACGGTAGTTCCTGTATTTTGGTCATTATGAAATTTTAGTCCTCGTAATTTCAATTGGCTCGATTCTGACCCTGAATTTATGATTTTGTCTCAATTTGGTCCAATTGATTTGAACTCTTAGCATTTTTTTTAAAAAATAGAAAATATGCACTTAAGTGTTATGTATCATATTTTTAAGGATAAAATTATAAACTTACTCAACTTAGTGAGTTAACCTCAAATAATTTAATGATAGTTTTCTTTGAAAAACACTAACAATAATTGGACTAAATTGATACAAAATTTAAAATGAATGGTCAAAATTGAGCCAACTGAAAGCGTATGGACCAAAATAACACAAGAAATAAAATATAGGGATTACTGGTGTAATTTGCCCTAAATAATAAGCCAATTAACCAAGCATTACGACAAAACCACTGACACATTCCTAGGGCCTGCGAACGAGTGTCAGACACAAGCACACGTCGGACACGCGGTGGACACGTGTCCGACACTCTCTAACGTGTCTTTTTTTTTTTTTTTGAATTTTTGCAGTTGGAGACGCCATGGACACGCTGCGACACTTTCCAGACACGCCTGAGGTGGATCGAAGCCCTAACTGTTGGAGAGAAAGAGATCGAGGGAGGAGAGGAGACAGAGAAAGAGAAATAGAGACAGAGAAAGAGATCAAGGGAGGAGAGAAGACAGAGATCAAGGGAGGAGAGGAGAGGAGATAGAGACAGAGACAGAGAAAGAGATCGAGGGAGGAGAGGAGAGAAGCCCTAACCTGTTCAGATCAATTGAAGAAGCTGAGGTATTCGTCTGCTCTCTTCTTCTTCGCCTCGTCCTCTTCGTCTTCTGTCTCCATCTTCTTCTTCTTCTTCTTCTCCTCCCTTTTCTGCGACTTCTTCTCTCTCTTTGATTTCGCTTTCCCCCTTTTTGCTGATTTACTTTCCCCTCTTTTTTTATTTCACCCGTTTATCTCTCTCTCTCTCTCTTCTATTTCTCTCATTTATTTTCTTCCCTCTCTTTTTTTTTTCTTTTTTCTTTTTTTTTTTTGTTATCCTTATTTTTGTTAAACCTAAAATTCATAAAATAAATTATTTTTGTTTAAAAAAACTCATTTTTTATTAATTTTTTTAAAAAATATGTTTATTAATTTTATTATTATTGTAGTTGTATAAAAATTAATGGTTTTCTTTTTATTTTAGACATATAATAAATAAATAAAATTATATATATTAAATGTGTCCCCAGTGTGTCGTGTCCCCCATTTTTTTAAAATTTGCGTGCCCCTGTGTCCGTGTCGTGTCCCATGTCCGTGTCGGTGCTTCATAGTATATAGGCCTATTGTAAAATAATTTAAGCTTATTTCAACTTAATTCAGGCCAGATTTTAAAAAGTTTGTTAGGCCATCTTTGGCCCTTAAATTTTTACTCACATTTAAGAAAAATTATTCATCCACAAAATTCCGTTTCCCGCCACCCAAATGAACAATGGGGCAAATTACGACGGTAGTTCCTGTATTTTGGTCATGAATTTTCGGGGTCGGGGAAACTCAATCCCCGTTAGGGGGCGGGGGTGGGGGTGGATTTAGGGTCCCCGTCGGGGATCGGGGCCAGGGACGAGGGGATTTTCACCGTCAGGGATCGGGGATGGGGAGTGCGATCCCCGGCCCCGTCCCGCCCCGTTGCCATTACTATTTGGAGGGGATCCTCTATTTTTCATCCTCCTTTCAAATGTGGAGGATCAACTCATTCTCCTCCCAAATAGAGATGGATTTAAAAGATGAATTGGAGGAGTAAATCCTTCATATTTGAAGTTATGGAGGATACATTGGAGATGCTCTGAGAGGTTATTTGATAATTTTTGAGTAATACTTTACATTATTCATTACATAATATTTATTGAGTTATTTTTTTAAAATTAATAAAAAAAATACTGAGTTTCACTATTTTTAATCAAAAAAAAATCAAGTTGGGAAAGTCCTCAAGAATTTGTCGAAATTGAGACACTAAAGCTCCATTTATTTTGACATAAAATATTTTGCCAAACATATTTTATTCATTTTCTGTTGTTTGGTTGAACAAAAAGTAAATAAAATATTTTTTAAGGAAAATATTTTTGTATTATTTTTTCAAAAATGATTTACATTTGAAAATTCTGTAAGTTAATTTTTACAAAATTGACTCCTACTCACTACCTTTTCAACATATTTAACATTTTCAAATAAATATTTTAATTCACTAAAAAATTATAAATAACATTTTATTGAATCAAAAAAAATTTCTTTTGGACAATAACATGTTTTGTTTCAAGCGTCAACTAAATATCAAAAAAACAAAATTACAAGCATTTTTCTATGCAAATTCAATTTATAAGAAGAAAAAAAATTATAAAATATTTTATGTCAAAACAAACGAAACTCAAGTCTAATTTTCGAGGAGCATTCTTTAATTTTTTCCTATTTTTGAGTTGCATTCGAGGTTATAGTCAGGGTTCACGTCCCCATCTAACACTGCTATATGGTCAAAGTGTTGCTTTAAGGGTCTGTTGGGCAAGAAGGGTTGGGTTGGTTGGATTGGGCTGGATTGAAGTTATTTTAGTTACATAAAGATAAAATAGGTTTTTTAATTTAATAAGATAAAATATCACATTCAAATTGTAATTATTTTATTTTTTCTCTTACAAAAGTCAAAAAAGTCTATCTGAAATAAGACTTTTTAGCACTAGATTAAAATAGTCAAAAAACTAAAAAATCAATCTACATCATAAACGAAGGGTAAAGGAGCTGTGCTGGGTTGAAGAAACAACTTACGATTTTGTATTAGGGTATGAGAAATAACTGGGAATATATTATTTGGTAATTGGTGTATGGCTTGGCCTTGTGATAGCTAAGGATATTATTTTTGAAGATTTTTTTTTTAATGATTTGCTGTTCGATTTTGTTTATACGCACATCGATTATTTCTAAGACTTATATAAAGCGTTCCTCCACATGGATTGAGCAAAAATCACAAGCAATGCCCGCAAACATAGGCCCAAGGAATTTTGGTTTGGAAACAAGTTATTTTAGTAACTTTTTAATTTTTTACAAAAAGATATGCAGAAAAGTAGATAGAGTGATGTGACAACTTATAGTGACTTCACTACTAGAAAAGGGTTATAAGACACGTAACTTTTTGCGACGGCATATTTTCTGTCGTAAAAAGTAACCTTTTGCGACAGTTAATATCCTGTCGTCAATAGTCACTTTTTGCGATGGCAATTTCTGTCTCAAAAAGAGTAAAGAATATGTTGGATGATTTTTGCAATGGCAAACCGTTAGCCGTTGTCAAAGGCCTATTTTTTTGAGACGGCTTTTCCTCTCTGTCGCAAAAAGATTTTTTTTTGACCATGGCCTTTGTTGTGTCGTGGCTAATAGACTAGAAAAAAAAAAATAGAAAAAAAGGCTCCTCATTCTCTCTCTATCACGCCTCTATCTCTGTGTAACGCCCTCCTCCTCCTCCTCCCCCCCCCTCTCTCTCTCTCTCTCTCTCCACCGCCATCGGTACAGGAGCACACGACCACCACCGCCATTTATATCACCATCGCAAACTAGCAGCCATTCTCTGAAATCGAGGATACGCAATCGAAGGGGTTTGACATTGCGATCGCTGGCATATTGACTTTCTATACTCTTGCACACAACTTTTCGATGACACAAATCTATATCTCACTCTTCGATTCAATTCCTCCTGTTTCAATTTCTTCAATTTCTCAGATTCTCCAATTCCCAATTCCTCCTTTTTATTTTGGGTCTCAATACCTATAATTTTCCAAAATATCTATGCGAAGGATTATTAATAGTCACAAAAATATTTTTTTGCAATTGATATTTTCATGATTTGCTATGCCTCTTGTTTACAACTTTTCATTGAACTACATTTTTGTATTTTCAGGTTCTCTTTCAAGCAATAATCTTACTACATTTGGTCCCTGTTGTTATGATAGCTCCCTCGGCAATTTTTGCTTAAGCCTTTATTTCTTGATTTTTGATTTTCATATTTTTCTTTTAATTGTAATTTAAAATTTTCTTTTTGGTTGTAAATGTATCTTGATTTATTTTTTTTATTGACTCTATTTCATATTCCTTGTCAAGTAGAGCAAGAGCATGCCGTAAAGTGACTAGTGACAATGTATTGTAACTTTTGTTTAGGTCTAGTAACAAAAAAGTTCATCAATCTGATCAAACATGCTGAAGATAGTATTCTTGATCTAAATAAAGTTGTTGACACATTAGAGGTGACTATACTATTCACCAATCTGTGCATCATTTGTTGTGATGTTTTATTCAATTAAAGGGTTTCTGTTGTGACAAGTACAGAAGAGGCATATATACGATATAATAAATGACCTTGAAGGAATTGGTCTCATTGAAAAGAAGCTCAAGAATAGAATTCGATGGAAGTACAGATGTATCCCTAAATTTTCATGAACTCGATGGCAGTTGTTTTATATTTCATTCTTTCATATTTTTATTAATTCTAGTGATCACCTCAACCACATGAGAAGCTAATTACTAGATAATTGATTCATTAGGGGAGTTGATGTGTCAAGGCCAGGGGAGGCTAATAAGAATGCTGTTACCATACAGGTATGCGAAACCTGTAAATATATAAGCTTGTTGGCATGCAGAACTTTTAGTGGCTTAGAGATAGATGAACAACTTTTGAAAATGTGCATACATGTGTTTTACTTTGTTTCCACTCTCTCTCTCTCTCTCTCTCTCTCTCTCTCTCTCTCTCGCCATGTTAGATAAAACAATCATTTATCACCATGAAAACATCCTAGACATGTCCTTAATGTGTATCACCGCTTTTTAATTCAAGGTGAGATCATATGCATAGGTGCATAGCAACACCAATCAAACATGTAGCAGGGGCAAGAAGAAGCCCATAGAATATGCTCAGATATAAATGCCACACCGGACTTTGCGAGTGGGATCATGAAAATGGTTCCTGAAGTTGAAGTGAGTCTTGACTTCTTGAATTTACATATAATTATCAGTTATCCTAGTTCGGAGTTACAAATTGCCAGGATCAACTCAAATCAAACAGATGGCATTCTTTAAATAACTCCATACCATCTACCGAGAGCAACTTAAATCAATGTTGTTTTGAATAGTGATGAATAATTCAAAGTGCACATAATCTAATAGATCGAATACAACCCTCTCACATAAGGTGGGACCCATTAAATGTGTGGGTCCTACTCCATGTGGGGGAGTTGTGTTTGGTTTTGGAATTGGATTCTGTGCACGTTAAAGAATAATTATTGCCTTTTTGTGGCTTTTTCAACAATCCGTAGCCAGTTTTACTACTAGTGGTGATCCAAGTCAATGGAAAGCCTGCAAGTTTTATTGCCCCCTGGTTAACAAGTCTAAATAAACCGAGGAACGTGGTTTTGACATTTTTTTTGGGTTCTTAAATGTTTCCTATGGTCTTTGCAGAGTGATGCAGATTACTGGCTTTTACCAGATGCTGATGTTAGCATTACAGACTTGTGGGGGATCATGTATCATTTATGGACTGTAATATTGATTTGTATTGAGTACACAAAAAGTAGATTACAGAGATAGTAAACTTCTATTTAAAATAGTTATCATAGTTTTCATTGCCCAGAATTTTGACACCTAATAAGAAAAGGGAGAAGGATAGTGTGTGTATCACTTACAAGATGCATATAACATGTCTTTTTGTAATAACGTCATAAATTTTTTTAACATGAATAATAAAATACAGTTTTACTTTTATCTTGCTATTGTTTTAAACTGATGGAAGTTTTGGTTGTGCAGGTGTTTGAGTCATTAGCTGTGTTGCTTTCTGAATTGGATGTCTTAGTTTTGTTGATCTGGCTATTAGTTGCCCCACTCCCTACACACGACCAGACACCACTTCAGTAATGATTTACAAATTATTTGCTTCCTTTGTTCTCTTCCAACAATATTGATGTTCTATTTTGTTAGAAAGATGCACTTGCTATATAGGTATGCTAATTGTATCGTGGCCATAACAGGATGTGGGAGATATTGTATTAGAAGGAAGTAGACATCCTTGTGTCGAGGCACAAGATTGGGTGAATTTTATCCCAAATGATTGTAAACTAGTGAGTTTTTATGCAATCTAAGGGATGGTTACTTTATCTTACTTCTTTGTCTTTTAAATAAATGGCTCATTAGTTGCTTATTTTGATTTTCATCACAACAGGTCAGGGGAAAAAGTTGGTTCCAGAATATCACAGGGCCTAACATGGGTGGAAAATTCACATTTATCAGACAGGTGTTATGTTTCTCTTTTGCTGGAACTCTTCTTTCTCTATCCATCCCTCTCAAATTAAATAAATAGTGGATGTTTTATTTTTCCAATAAACACAACTAGGGTAGTCTGTACTGTTTACAGTGTACCATGTGTAGGGCCATGTTTAATTAAATAGCCCTATTGCTTTGGTGTTTCTGAAAAATTAGAGTTATTTCTTTTGCAAGTTTATTTCCATTCAATCTGTTTGTTTTTTGCTCTAGACTTCAACTTTAGCTTTGGACAGAAATTTGAAGTTCTTGTATTTTTAATTGTTTATGATAGCTAAACTTTCAAAACTCTGCTATTTTTGGTAGTAAAATGGCTGGATAGTTAGATATGAATCATGGTGTAATTGTAGGGCCAAGGATTGTTTGTGAGTTAGTTGAAAAAGGGTAAACTTAGTCGAAAAGGGCATTCGGGCCTGAAAAAGCAAAACTAATGATTAATGTAATCAAAAAAAAAAAAAATTGATTAATGTTATAAGATTACTAGTTGCCTTATATATGCATTTGAGTTGTAGGCATAATTTTGTTTTATATACATTTGAGTATGCAAAACTAATGATTAATTTGAAAATTGTATCTACATTTAAGTTTTATAATTTTAAATATGTCAATGTTATTCAATCAATAGTAATGATTAATCTTGTTTTTACTACCAAAAATAGTAGAGTGTTTTTTTAAAAAAATAATCCTGTATCAAATGAGACATGGGATTTGATGATCTTGAGATAAAGATACATACAAAATAATCCTGAATCTAGTTGAAAAACTTCTCCAAAATTTAACCGTAAAATAATTTGTACTTGAGCTTTGGCAATCTAATAGCATTTGTTTCCACTTGTTACTAAAATGGTCAAGGATGTCAACGAAACTTGACACACACTAACTAGGTACAAATGACTTGTAGGAGAAGACGGGACTCGAAACTAATTCTCGATTTTGAATATAGAGCTTAATTTCTGTTTATGAAAACTTGTTTTAGATACAACCCTTTTGAGTATGTGATGATATATCTTCGCATATCAATATTGGAGTTTACAATCTTATTTATTTATTTTTTGAAATAAATATCAAATATTTTACATTTTCTGTAATCTTGAAATTAATTATGTTGTAAATGATGATTTTTTTTTTTTTTTTTGGTTTCTTTTTGCAGATGCAACCCTTTTGAGTACATGATGATATCCTCGCATGTCGATATTGGAGCTTACTATTGATATCAAAACAAGCTACAATATATATGTTTTTTTATTTGTATTGTCTATACTTTTGTTTTGTTTTAGATACAAAAATTTGAGTTCTTGAATACAAAAAATTATTAATATTGTTGGAGGATGTTTTATATATTTTTCTAAATAATATTTGGTTGACAATTGTTAGAGAGTACATATATATCATTCTTGGTATATGATTTTGTGGATGTGAATATGAATGTGGATGTGGATGTGAATGTGTATGTGTGTGGATATGAATGTATTTTATTTAGAAAATATTTATAATTTGTACAGGGAATGAATTAATAAAATATATAATAATAAATTGTCGTTAAAGTAATCATCAATTTCTTACATTTTATTAGCGACGGTCTAACCTGTCGCATATACATATTAGTTCAATTCTTTTGTGACGGTTTAAACTATTGCAAATATGGTATTAATTTAATTCTATTTTTTTGGCGATGTTTTAGTCCATTGCGAATAAGACTTTTTGCGACATTAAATACCGGCGCAAAAAAAAGTTTTTGTGACGACAATCAACATCGTCACTAGAAGTGAAGTTTTTCCCCTTTTTTTTTGTGTCAAGTTAAACCGTTGCAAAAACCATTGATTAACCGTCGCTACAAGAAAGCAACGATTTGTAACTGTCGCAAATACCTTTTGTCACGCCCCCTTTCGCCACTCCCCATTTCCCGTCGCTACTTCGTCGCAAAAGGTCTTTTGCGACAATATGTGAACCTTTTGCGACGTTTAACACCGTCGCAAAAACTCTGATTTTTAGTAATGATTCTTGTAACAGTAAAATTTTATTCTAGTTCATGACACAACACTTTTCGGTAAAGCTATCATTGCATATTGTTTTAGAGTACAATTTTACTTTGAATCATAGTAAACTTTATTCTGATTCAGAGTAAAATTTTACTCAGTAATAAATATAAAAAAAGAGTAAAATTTAACTATGAATCAAAAGTAAAATATACTATGATTCAAAGTAAAATTTTACTGTCATTAAGCAAATCAGCATGTTGTTAACCAGAGTTAAATTTTATTGTTACAAAAACAGAGTACATACTAAATGAAAAAACCAAAGTCAAATTTTACTTTTAGATCTATGAACAAACAAACAAAAAAAAAAACTCTTGATTTTTCATTGCAATATCTCGTTTTCTCATTTTTCTGTCAAATCTAAGTTTTTATTTATTTATTTATTTATTATTATTATTTTTTTTAATCTCAGATTTGAAATTATTGATCTCAAATATGAGTTCATAGGTATTAAATCTGAGATGGTGGTGGTTTGACGGTAAAAATGGTTGTTACTAGGCAATGGTGAGGATGAGCGATGCCGATAGACAATGAAGATGGTGAAGACAATGAACAACCATTGAATTGGAGAGAGAGAGAGGGAGAGAGAAAGAGAGCTGTAAAAGAATAAGAAGAAATAGAGGGTGTAATAGTCAAATAAAATATTCAAGTAACAAATTTTGTCCTCCATACAGGACTTTATAATTTTGAGGGGTTTTGAAAGTACTAAATTTTTTTTTGTCCTTTTAACAAAAAAAGGAAGTTAGGAGGAGTTTATGGCCAAATTTTCCTAATTATTTTTATATTTACGTATTACTTGTATTAGTTTCGTTCCCCATTCCCCCTAACTAGATCATAATATTTATCTCAAACTTTTAAAATTACTAGTGACAAACAGAATTTGCCTTTTTTTATTGGACAAATTATGTCGGTGGTTTCTAAAATTTTCACATTGAATCAATTCCATAATATCTTCGCAAAACACCATTGACAAAAAGACTTTTTTCAAAGTAATATAAGAAAATTTACAAACAATTCCATAAAGAACTTGGTTTAGTTTTTATTTAATTTAAGGAGGAAAAACTTGGATCAGTTCTATTTCCCAAAATGGTAAATAGCATGCAATAGAGATGAGGAGGTGATGATGAGAAAGATGAAATCTCACAATTTGCAGCAATTGCAGCAATAGCAAAAGTAGTGGTCTCTGGTCGTGACCTTCTCAGTAACGGATACAAGTCGAATCTCACGGCCTTACCCCAACTGGGCCCCACCGTCGAACGAACCCCCTTTTCTTTTTTCCCGTTGAACCATCTGTTAAACAAAAACCATCTCTTCTGTTCTACAATTGAGATCCACATGTGTGTTTATTTGAGTGAGTTAACTCATTGAGTTGGCTGAATAATGTACAAAATATTAAAATCGAGCGATATGAAAAAGAGACAAAATATAAAATTCAAGGTTAAAATTGAGCGATTTGAAAATATAGGGACTAAAATAACACGAAAGTATACCATATGTATCATTTTAAGGGTGAACATCTTCATTTTCTCTATGCTAATTGTTGGTATGGTGTATAGGATTGGCTGATGCCTATTGAAATTGTGATAATTGGCTTAAATCCCCCTTGGGTCATTGTGTGGACTGCTGAAATCAATGTGTAGTTAGGAGCTAATCATCTGCATTTGCATCTGCATATATGAAAACTTACGATATTTTGTTGTTTTATTGCTTTGGCTTTTGTTGGTGTGTGGCATTCACCCAAAAACAAGTTATAGGTAAACTACCAATAGGTCATAATAATTGGACTTAATTCCTATCAAGTCCTCTATTGAAAATAAGTTTTGGTAAAATTATTGCTAAAAATAATTTTTTTGTGACAATTTTTTATATATGTTGCTAAAAATTGACAATTAGTGACTTTTTTTGTCATGATTTTTATAAATTGTCGCTAAAACTTACAATTAGTGACTTTTTTATGATAAATTTTTCTCATAGGGCCTATTAGTCAATAAGTTAACTTATTAGGACTTACACGTAAGTACCCCATCTATATATATATATATATATATTTTTAATTTTTAGTGAATTTTTTCTTTCTAAAGTATGTCCCCTGTTTTTTTTCTTTATTACTTTTTAAGTTTGTCTTGTGTAGACGAATCTTTAAAAAAAAATAAAAAAAATAAAAAAAATCCTAAAGACAAAAACAGTTAAAAAAAAATAAAAAGTCAACTATTTTTTATTTTTGTTTTATAATCCTTTTTGGACTTTTTTTTCAAAATTTTCAAAATTTTTGATCTTTTCTAATTTTTCTAGTCGAGTAGAATTCAAGAGTGTAACACTTTTTAATTTTAAAGAAAAAATCATTAAAGATGAAAAAAAATCAACAAAAAGTTATTAAAAAAACCAACCTCAAACACTTGTAAATTGGTTAAAACTCAATAGACACAAATAGATAGAGAATAAAACACACACACACACACATACACAAAAAAAAAATATGTGGCAAGGATTAATCATTAACAAATTAAATAAAAAGTAGTGCAAGTTGAGAAACATACTTGTATATTACTGATGTTACGGACTTCTCCTAAATCATTAAAAGCTTTGACACAAGTAAAGATTACAACAATGTGAAGAAAAAAATGAATAGTTGAACTTATAAGCGAATTTGACTGTGGCACAATAGCTCACTGTTTCGATAAGCTTTTTGTTGGTGATACCATTACTATATGTATATCATTGTTGGAGCATTTTGCTCAATTCTCAAAATTAAAACTAGAATCCATGGCCTCAATTGGCAAAAATCATAGAATTCACCAATAAAAGGAGAATACATATATATGCAAAACACAGTCTATATAACATATTCTGGACAATATGATAGTTCACAAATCATTTATCCAAGGAAAGACTTACTTTAGAATATTTTACAAAAGACACAAAATCATCAAACCCCATCAACATATATACTAGAACTATAGAATTATTCAAACTTATTTCTTTCCAACAACTCAAGAAAATTCATAACATGATCTCAATGCTGCTTCCTCTGAGGGTCCTTTCTCCAGCTGAATATAAGACCCTTTAATGACAACAAAGCATATAACAAGCATATTAGTGGATGTTAACATGGTTTCTCTTAAATAATGCAACAAATGACTTTTGAAAAATTATTTGAGAAATGTATTTGCACAATTTGAACTATAAAACAACAAACCTACATTTGTTCAATGTTTTTAAGCATGTGACAAAGAATTTTGGCGCTTTTGGTAAAGAAATTAGGTGGAAATTAATCTGTATACTTTACTATATGATCTTGAATGTAAGATATGTTTTGATGATAATCTGGAAATATCACTACCTCCACTTCAAAATATGAATGGTTATCCTTCAAGTTGTGATGATATTCCAAAAATCATTAGCATGATTAGCATTGTTATGTTAATGACGGAACAGAAATGAAAAAAATTCAAAAGATTCATGCAAGAAAAATCATGGGGTATGAAGATGGAAATTTGATGCACACGTCGAAATTATCACAAGATATAGAGGTAATGTATGTACTGATATGAGAGAGAGAGAGAGAGAGAGAGACGAACCAATTGGGAGATAAATTCATCTTCCAAATTTTCCTTTGTTGAATTTCCTCCTTAGCTGAGCAAACTTGATTGCTATGGTTACTGATATCCAATTGTAGTTGTTTTCGATGAACTGGAAGTATGCATGCCTCCAAGACTCCTTGAAATTCAGAGTGCCACAGACCCCCAAGAACCCAACCAAGAAACCAGGTCCAATGCCAGTGTAGAACCACAAAAAATCAGTTTCATCTGCGACTTTACTCTCATCAACATGTTTGTGATCACCATCAGATGATTTATCATCGAGGCAGCTGTTTAGTGGTGCACCACAAAGGCCATCATCGTTGCCTATATAAATGGAAGGATCGTCGAGAGTTTGAAGTTGATTTCCCGTTGGTATTCGCCCTGATAAATTATTGAATGACATGTTCAAATGACCTAGGTAGCTTAAACTAGACAGACTTGGAGGAATGGGGCCAGAAAGTTTGTTTTGAGACAAATCAAGAGATTCCAATTGTGTCAAATTGCCAATATTATTAGGGATCCTTCCTTTTAGATGATTTCCAGATAAATTCAAGTTAAGCAACCCAGAAAGATCCATTAACTCTTCTGGAATCTCTCCAACAATGCCATTGTTCGAAAGGTCCATGGAGATGAGAAATTTGAGTGTCTTGGTGTATTCCAGTTCTCTTCCTTTCATTGAATCCAAAATGTTCTCTCCATAATAAGTTCCTCCAACAAAATAATTGTCAGTTGGATTGAAAATGTACTCAGAATCTAGTGCAACCATGGCAGTGAAGTTGCCAAAACAACGAGGGATATTTCCCGATATGTTATTTTGTGCCAAGTTCAACAATTGCAAATTTTGGAGATGACAGAGCTGTGGAGGAATATCACCATAGAAATGATTTGATTGAAGATTGAGAAATTGAAGATTAGTTAGGTTATATCCAATCCATGGAGGGATATTATCAGTGAACACATTTTCACCTAGATCAATGGTGAACAGATCTGTCAAATTGTGTAAGGACAAAGGAAGCTTCCCATAAAACTTATTGTTACGCAAGTGCAAGGAATTAAGAAATTGTAGGGAACCCAATGAACTTGGAATTTCACCATATAGACTATTATTCGTCAAATCTAGCACCGACAACTGATCCAACTGCCCCAAGCAAGGAGGAATTTTTCCTGATAACTGATTGTTTGAGAAATCAATAAGACTTATTTGCTTTGCACTGCACAAAGACACTGGAATGACACCAGTCAAATGGTTATTTGAGAGAACAAGAAATGTGAGGCTCATCATCGCAGTATCATCACTCACAGTAATAGGTCCTGAAAGAGAGTTGTTGGATAGATCTAAGAAATAAACATGTGAAGGAAGCGGTGTTAATGGGCCCTCAAATCTGTTAGAACTCAATAGTAACCATTTATCATAAGCACTATATCTATATTTACATTTTTGAAATATTGGCACCTTTCCTTTGATCTGGTTGTTGGAAAGATTCAAGTGTATAATGCTACAATAAATACTCTCAAACCAGTCTGGGATGAGAACTGAGATGCTTGCATTAGACATGTCTAACTCTGTAACATTTTTTTGTGTTTTCAGCCATTGAGGAAATTGGGGTCCTACTTTGATGGATGCCAATTGTATGACTTGGAGTTGAAAGGGAGGAACCCATTGGGAGGTCACATTTAAAACTAATGAATTTGAATGCAAGTACAATTCATATAAACTATTGAGTTTGGCGAAGTGAAGTTCAAATACGGTGCCAACAAATGAATTGTGTGACAAATCTAGATATTCTAGTTTTGAAAGTTGTCCAAGACTAACTGGAATGCTCCCATTCAATTGATTGTCTCCAGTATCTAACACTCTCAAATATGATAGTCTTCCGAGTGATGATGGCAGCGGACCATAAAATGAATTCCATCCAATAATAAGCCTCACTAGATTCTTAAACTCTCCCAAATGGTTTGGCAGACCACCACTCAACTTATTTGAAAAAAGAGACAAATCTTCCAAACTATTATGGATGCAACCAAATGGACTTCCAACAGAAGTTGAAAGCTTTCCAGTGAATTTGTTATTGGACAAATCCAATACACGCAAGTTGCAGAGGTTCCTCATGGAGTTTGGTATTTTACCTTCAAACGCATTGTAAGAGAGGTCAAGCTCTGTAAGTTGTGTCAGATGTCCCATCTCACTTGGAATTGGGCCTTGAAGATAATTTGAATTCAACCTGAGGATGGAAAGAGAAGCAAGATTCCCAAGGCAATGGGGGATTGCACCTGTATGTCTAGTATCGCTAAGATCTATATGGACAAGACTGCTCAGGTTACACACAGAATACAACATTGAATCATTGAAGTTGTTTCTTGAAAGGTCAAGGACTGTGAGAGAGGTCAACCTTCCAAGTGTATCAGGAATTGGACCACGTAAATCATTATTGCTAAGGTTGAGATACTGCAACCTTGAAAGATTTCCCAGATGATGAGGAATCGTTGCAGTCAAAAATGAGCAAGAGAGGTCAAGGTATCTCAAGCTTTTCAAAGATCCTAAGGAATTAGAAATTTGTATATCGTTCCAGCTCAAGTCTAGGTAATGCAAATGATTCAAATCGAGTAAGGAAGGACTTATCTGACCACGCAATTTGTTCATTTTGAAATTTGGATTTTGCAGATCAAGCTTCACAACATGGCCTGTTTTATTGCTACAACCAACTCCCTTCCACGTGCAACAGTCCTTTCCAACCCATGAAGATAAACGGTTTGCTTCATCTGTGAGATTTCCTTTGATTTTCATAAGAGCTTCTCGCTCACTCGCTATGCAACTCACATTTGAATTTGTACTATTACAAATGAACTCAAGTCTTACAATGAAAAAAAGAGCAAATAACATTACAAGAGCACTAGAGGTTGTGCCCATAGCTTCTGAGTGTCGAATGTTATTTTGATGCCAATGTTGAATGATTAGAGTTTTATAAACTGTATAAGATGACTTGATTGTTTTGAAAAGTCTCAAGTCATGAGCACCTAGTTGTAATTATTATTATAATATAATGTATATAATTAAAAATTATTAAAATATGTAAATAAGAATACATTTATGTCCAAGTCAAGTCATTAGTGGACTGCCATTTCGTCTTCTTCTTGGGGGTAGAAACAAGGCCATTCCGGCTTCTTGGGGGTAGAAATTGTCGTCTCTAGTCTTTGGTGTGTCACGTTCATATTGGATAAAGAGCGATGATAGAATTATCAAATAATTTATCTTCAGATAAAGTGTGAGATAGTGATACCAAAAAAATATTCCATTCATCTCAAAATATTAGTTCATTTTCAAAAATTAAGTACAAAAATAATATAGATTTTCTATTTTACTCTTCTTTTAAATTCATTAACAACATAAAAAGTACAATTATGACATTGATATTTTTCAAAAAATGTACTATCAAAGGGCGATTTTAGAAAATCAATTTTTTTAAAGTGTAATAATTGTATTATAAAAAAAAAGTTAAATTCCTCAAAAGGAACTATCATTTTGGGACGTAGGGAGTACATTTATATCAGTTACATATTGTACAAGTTTGTACAAGTGTTTTTTGCAAGTAAATTTAATGGTGTTAGTGTTACAAATTAATCTAAAATCATGTGAGAAGTATATAGTTATGTTTAAAAGAGACAAAGTGAGTCAAACAAGAATGAGATAAAAATATTATATATAAAGGGCCTCTATTTTAGTGGGATTTTAGGGGGGGTCTTGGCTTGTTAAGTTGGTGGGATTGTTAAGATATGAGTATAATATTTTGTATATTTTGTAGCATCGTTATGAGTTTTTATAGTGTTAATACAAATTATTATAATTATGTCACGAATGGATGCCCCATAAAAGAAGTTTTAGTTACAAATTATTATGGTTATATAACAAACTAATATGATAATGTTATGAATATTAAAATATTACTTACTATTTTGGTGAAAAAGTTACTTAACTATTGTGATTTTGTTATCAATCATTGTAGTGTAGTTTTGAAAATGCATACTATATGCATTTATAAGAGTGTACCATAGTTATGCTCGTTTTATTTTCTAAAAAAAAAAAAAAACTATCAAATTATTTTCATCTTTCATTTATCAGTATATGATAATTTCAAAATTTTGGATACGTATCTGGGGTGTTTTGGGAAGATAGTTAAAAATTAGCTTTTTAATTTTTTTTGACTTTTTTTACTGTTTTATGTGAGAGGTGATGTGACCTAAAATGAATTAAAAGCTAGTTTTTAGCTTTTTTGGCTTGTTGCCAAAACAACCCAAAATTCATTGCCATTCATTTACTGGATGAATTGTGTGATATTATTTCTCATTTGCATTTTTCTAATGGTAAATTATTAAAATTTAAGTTCATGAAATATAATTTTGTAATTATTTTTAGCTTTCTTTAATAGTGATTTGTTCATTTTAATTGTCTAAATTAGACTTGATCTAATTTCTTAGACTTATTTAATACTTTACTTTTGACTCCTCTAATAATATAATGCTGACTCTGCCCCAAATAATAAAAAAGAGAAAATAACATCACAAAAGCACTAGAGGTTGCACCCATAGCTTGAGTGTGGAATGTAATTTGACGCTAGTGTTGAAAGATTAGCTCTATTTGGTACAACTTTTTAACTTTAATTTCACTCATTGGTTTGAGTATGGTGTTTGGTTATAGTTTTTAAAAATTGATTCCACTCACTTTTGCAAACACATCTACTCGGCCATCGTCTCGAATGTTTCTCCGGAAGTCTGGTCGATCGTCCGGCCAGTTGACCGGAACAGTGTTCATTTTTTTTATATTTATTTTGCACCTGTTATTTTTATATTTTAAATAAAAAATATTTTCGAATTTTTTTAAAATTTTTTTTATGAGCTTTGAATAGAATTTTGGATTGTGTGTTTGGTTATAAATTGTAAGTTTTTGAATCAAATATCATATGTCACATCAAAAATTTCAAACTCAATTCAAAACTCATAACCTGTTGGCTTTTTGGCTTTCGAAGGTTATTGTTGTAATTGCGAGCGTGCCAGCAAAGATCAATTAGTCTTTACAGAAAATTAATTGCCAACTAATTATCAGACGACTGTGTTTTAGTTCTTTCAACCTCAATGAAGAGGACTTTTACCGGTGGCTTAACTTTGGAGAATTAAATAGATAACAATGAATTGAAGAACAGTCGAAATATTTCATTAAGATGAAAAGACTTACAATGATCCAAACTCAACCTCGTAGAGGTTTACAGCAACTCTACTTGGAACTACTCTTATGAAACGAAGTGCAGTGCAGGAATTTTAAAGTACAGTAATGTACAGAACTGTAAATATAAACAACTGTAAATGTAAAGCTGGAAAGGAAAATAAGTAATAAAGACTGGTTTGTTGGATCTGAGTCCGAGAGATTTTTCTGGGGCCTTCTCTACTATTTATATTGCTCCAGAATGACCATCGAGTTACATTTCCAATCGTCGAACTGCTCCTCCATGATCATCGATCATTTTGCCCCAATATTTGCTCCACTACACCATTACTTGCAATTAAGCTTCCCTCCTAAATTTGAATCTGAGATGCAAGTAACTGTTGAGGCCACGTAACTTTGTATCTCTTTGTTGATCCGCTGCTACTCAGATTTCTTAATAAACAATACTAACTGCCACGTGTACGATCAGGATTGAGGACCTGAATAGTCTTCCTATATTACCCTTATTTCGCCACGTGTCGAATTGTAATTGGCTTGTACAAAATATGTAGCCAACATTGCCCCCTGCACTAATATACCCAATACTTGGTGATATTAGTGGATCAAATTTTTTTTTTTTTTTCACGTCTTAAAACGTGCATGATTTCTAGAAATGCAACTGTCATTTGTCATCTGCATTAAACTCCCCTTCAATCTTTTGAACACCTCTACCACTTTAGTATTCGAACGGACTGGTACACTTTTTATGGCCGAATCAATTACCTCCTTCATTGATCGAGCACATAAAGAGTCATATGATGATGCTGTTCCTCCTCGAAAGAACCTTCGCACATTAATTGGCCACCTTTACCCATCCTTTTATATTCAAGTCATGGATGCCTTTGCAGATTACCAACCCTTGGACTTCGAACATATTTCCCTTAATCCTTCGATTCAGAAACTTACAAATATGGACATGGGAAGGTCCTTTTTTGACTCATCCTCAGACTACGAACAAACTGCTCTCAATCCTTTGATTCAGAAAGTTACAAATATGGACATGGGAAGTTTTCCTTCACAGCCCTCTGCATGGGATAAGGCTGCAACTTCTTCCTCTTCTGGGGCTTCTGACTGGACAAACTGGTCAAAACCCGAGGCCTGTGATTTAAGGGAGCGAATCAACCATCACTTTGTTGAGTTTATTGACCCTTTAGAATTCTCTTCCTATGCGCGAAGCTCGGTGGTCTATCCTTACGTGCCCATTGACCACCGACGCAGTTTGGAGAAGAATTTGCTTGTGGCATGGTATACATCTTCCATGCCTACAAAGACAGTGCATGTCGCTCGATGCCTAGAAGAGGCACAAGGGTACAATCCATCATTCTTAGCCCAGAAGGCGAAGATTTGTTCTTCTGACTGGCTCGATTATATCAATGCCTTTGTTCCTTCTGCCCTTGCTTCACCTCCTAAGATAGAAGCATCCACACCTTCTCTTCCGCCAAGTCCTTGCTGGATAGAGAAACTGAGGCTTGCCCTCTCCTTGGATAAGGTCTTTCCACCTTACAAACCTCCACCTTCCCCTATTCCGGCTGAGCGGAAGCAAGCTCAATTTTTGCTCGCGGCTTTCTTCCACTTGCCCTTCAATGTTCTTGAGGACGAAGTCCCTCTTAAGAACCTTCGATGGGCTTGTGATATTCTGACTTGGGGTCACGTCCTTAACCCCCTCGCCTAAGCAGAGCTTCACATGTTTTTGGACCAACTTCCATTGCTTCGCCACTGGCATCGGACCTCTATGACCACCACACAATCTTTAGACCAACTTTCGTCCCTTCGAATTCATGCCCAGTACGAAGCAGAAAACTTTATTGAAGAATTCGATGATTTCAAGAATAAAGATTCTGCATACTGGGATGACTTGGATATGGACGAATTGGAACAAGGATTGAGAGAAACAGCTATCGAAATAAAGGCTGAAGAGCTCTTTTATGAAATGAGAGCGCATCAACTCATGCAGCCAATGTTAGAAGAAATAGAGGACAGAATAAAGAAAGAACAAAAATTCATTGATCATAGTTGGACTAAATTTCATGATCTTGTTATTTATTTCATTCCCTATTTTTATGAGCTCGAGTTCGTACCCAAGTAGGGCCATTCGATGTAACTATTTTTGCTTTAATACTACTAAGACTTCTCTTTGTTTGATATGGTTTGATCTTGTCTCCATTTGTCTTTAAAAGCAATTTCAGAGCTTCAAACTGAACAATCTTTTCCTTCGAACCTGGATTCAATCGTTTTTAAATGAATATTAACAAAACGACCGTGAACTTTTCCAATTTATGGAATGTAGTAGATAGTTTTTTTTGTTGTGTTTTCCATTTGGGATCTATGCTTCGAATCTAACAATCTTACTCTTCAAAACTTGTTTCAATCACAACCAGCATATGGTCAATGATTTAGTATGATCAATCAGTTTTAAATTGATCTTTTTGTCCTGAACAACAGTCCATACTTTCAAAAATATGGAAGCTCCTTTTGAGGGCTGCACTTTTTTTGTTCAAAAAGACAACTTTTCTGACTATATATAAACCAACTATTGGTTTTGATGTTTCGAATGCCAATTTCCATTCCTAAGGGATTCCTAGTTTTACTTCGAAAAACATCACTTTCATTGAGAAACCTAAAACAGGCCTTTAATCCCCTTCGAAGTAAATGAATACTTGAATATTCTTA